GCATTTCATCAGGAACAAACACTCAACTCACATCCAAATGCTCCATGATTTCAAAGTGTATCTGGAGTTCAGGGAGCCTATTACCAAAATATAATCTTTCACGTATATACAATTTCCCCATATTCTTCTGAGTTGCTCCTCTGAGCAGCCGAAAAAACTCATCCTTCTCCTTCCGGATCCAAATCCTGCGGCCATCACACCACTGTCTAGGAGTTCCATGAAGGAAAAACCGAATTCCAGGGGCTCCTTGCATGAGGCGCTCAGAAATTTTATCAATGACATCTTGGTTGGTTACATATGCTCCCTGTGTGTTTAGACCAACATCTACGTAATGGAATTCAGCTATGCTATTTAAGAAGCTATCCTTAGAATTTGGAATGATCTGATCTTGTTGCAGGGAGGCAAATCCTCCATTTGTCACATTCTTATTTGCTAACGATACATCTTCAGTGAACTGGACTGGTGCAAAACCAAGCTCAGTAACCAGCTGGTTGAGTACAGTACCACCCTTACTAAATCCAAGTAGTATTGTTCTTGGTGTACTTGAAGTTGATGTAGAAACTTCAGCTTGATAGGGCTCTTTTTGCTTCCCTAAAATGACATTTTTTGCCTGCCAAGGCAGTAGAGTAAATTGTTTAACAACTGGAAATATGCAAAACCATTGCATGTGATGTAAAAATGTGCAAGAAGAAGTACTAATCGCCCTCTTTAAAGAGGCAATATATCACTTTCATTCCTAATATTCTGCATATGGACAAGCCAAACAAGGTCAAAATAAAGAAATGCATAAATGGAACAAGAATATTCACAAGCCACCAGAGAAGCAAGTTATAGCCTTAATGTAAGCTGTATAAAAAGAATAGCAAAAAGCAATTGGTGATTCATCACTTTTTCTTGCGAGAATTAACAGAATCAATATACTCTGTATAAATGGAAAAGTACTTTCTCCTATGTTTCTGTAAGAGGGATTCAATGGACCATACGACCTCCACAACCATCTCTGTCTTCCCACGAACATGTTTAGTGCGAGTTCCAGCCTAAAGAGCTCAAAAGACTTATTCTTACACTAGATGGTTGCACTAAATGGTCAAAACCTTCACTTTGGTCCGGGGTTTATTTAGGTTTTCGATTGAAAATTAGAGTAATATTTACCTAAAATACAGAGCCAAGATGGACATACATGTCACTACAAGAAACTGCAAGAGGAGGGCATCTCAGGCCAAAAAGACTTAAAATCACATTCCAAAACTCCAACGAGGATCATCACCTTAAGTTTTCTCTTTCAATACTGACTTAACAAAAAAAGTGGTACATTGTGATTACTGAAAGCAAGTCAAGTACTTGGAGCAATAGATAATTACCTCTTTCAGGCAATTCCACAAAAGCAAGACAGTGGTGGAAGAAGCAGGGAACCGCTCTGCATCATAAGATTTGGGCTCTCCATATTCATTGACAGAAGGGATAAAGTCCTTATAAACTGCAAAAGGCCCATTAAAAACTGGTGACTCAACAACCCAAGCATTGATAGAATTCCCAAATTTTGAAACCAAGATTTCAGCTATTTTTTGCAGGTCTGATAGCCTCTCAATCACTTGATTTCCTGTCCCTTCAACCTTATCTCCGTTGAAAAAAATGGCATTTGCAACAGGTACCTATCTCTCATACAAAATACAAGGCAATAAGAGCTGATGATTCCATTAAAACCAATAAAGCAAGCAACTTTACTGCTACACAAATTAAAATGTCCATCCCTTCAATACAGTATATCAAAATTTCCTTTTTCAGTGTCTACGTAACTCCACCTATAAACGACCCCAACTAATTTGGAATTGAAACGTAACTGAATGGATACATATAAACGACCCCAACTTATTTGGAATTGAGGCGCAATTGATTATGGATTCATCCAAATAGCTACATTGTTAAAATGTCATTTCTTTAAATAAAAAAGAACAGAAGAGTATTTGATTGGGAGGTGGGGTGTTTGATTTATTAAACTTTCTGCAGGGTCTAGGGTTTGTAAGAACTTACAGAGAGTGATTTAGTAGAAGCGGAAAGGCAAAGAGAAGCTGCAACTCGATAATATGTGCTGCTATCAGCGTACAAGGGCACCTTCAAGATTCCTGTCCAACGATCCATGGGAAAAACCCGAGCTAAAACTTTTAGCTCATGCTAATCGATTGAATTGCTAACGGGGAATTCGTTAATATTGGCAAAGGAATCTGAATCTGCAGCTTTCAGCGTTGGTCTGGTCGAGAACCCTCGAGTTTGGTTCGAGGAAGATTCGACTAATGGCAGTAAAATCTAGGAACGGGGTGGGACTAAATGTGACGAAATAAAACTTACAGGTTGTCTTTGAACAATTTACTACATTAATTTGCATTCCAATTGTTTTTCTTAATTACTACTCCCTCCGTGGCTAAATTTGAAGTTGAAGAGCCAAACAAGTTTTTCTTTAACTGTTTTTTTTTATTATATATTTTAAATTATTAACTATTGTGACTTATAGTACTTTTCACATAATTTTTAAATATGTAAATTTTATTTAAAAAACTTAAGATTCAACATCCGAATTCACGTTCAAAATCAATAAGCGAAATTCGAAGGAACAAAGAGTACTATACTACATTAGATTAATATTACTTGTCCTTTAAGATTTTTGCATACCTCTTAAAATAAACTATTTCATAACTTTAATTATTAGAGTTTTTCTTTAAATTATTTTTTTTCTCACCCTTAATCGGGGATGGGATTTCTCCACTATTTTAATGTCCAATAATTCTCAATTGTCACTTAGATGATGTAGGCCATGTGTGCAGTTAAATTTCAAAGACTTGAATTTACTTTCAGTGTTTTAGTATTTTTCTATTTGCTTTATTAATTAGATACGTTTTTACTTTCTTTATTTCTTAAATAAAAATGGCAGGACATTTAGCCCCTCTTTTCACTTCGGTCCAAGTCCACCCCACCCCTAGAACCATGTTACCTTCTTTTTCTCCTTCGTCCACCTTTGTCTTTACATTTTTAGCATATTGTATTTGTTGCTGCCGCATCATAACCAAGCATATTATTTTTCAAACCCAAATTAAATTGTAAATCTTAAGTTTATGAAAATTCGCTCAATGTATAAATAAGGTGGGTTTTCTCTGAAAACTCCCTTGAATTTTCTTATACTAAGTGAATGAACAGAAAATGGGTAATTCAACAAAAAGGAGCAAATCGGACTTTGGGTACAATATAATGTATTTATAGCTACGAAATCTCAGCTACAACTCTAAATTCCGTGGCTAGTACCTAACAATAGCCACAAAAATTAGAGTTGCGTGACTTTTTACAAATTCGTAAAATTTCTTAGCCACAAAAA